TCAAGCTATTAACAAAACATGTACCTACATGCATACCCTCATGCCATTTCCTTCCAGGGTAAGCACCATTATGCAGAGCAAGAAAAGGCATAAGAAAGAGTAAGGCAAAAAATTAAAAGCATGATGGAAGCACACAATGCAAAAATTAGTCTACATCAAACCATTCAATATATCTTTCCATGCCTCCTCTTGCAAATCATCCTTGCTTCCACTAAGTCCCTACACCACTTCATACATTCTCTTTTGCTTGCTAAACTTCTCACTTCTCTCTTTTCAGGGTCTCATCAACCCCAGCCAGTCACAAATTTTTCAGGCTTCCTCTTCTTGTCTTATTTATTCTTCCTCCATATTCATTCTCTGTACATGACCAAACCACTACAAAGTGTTTCTTTCATACTGGTCACTCACTTCTGTATTCAGTACACGTTCATTCAGCACCCATTCATTCTTGACCCTGTCTCTTCTTAAGCAACCCTTTCATGCTTTTATTAATTTATTTATATTTTTCACTTGACATACCCAACTCCCACTTATACATAACAAAGTAGTCAGAAGCACAATCTTATACATTGCTTTTTTTTTGCAAATATTCATTCCTCACAATCAACTGTATATTACCCACATATCTATCTATCTATCTATCTATCTATCTATCTATCTATCTATCTATCTATCTATCTATCTATCAGAAATACTTATCTATCAGTATTTGCATGTCTTAAAATTTCTCAGTTTTCCCATATTTTGTAATAAATCTATCAAAATGCACAAATTAATCTACTTGCTCTAGTTTTTTTCCCATTTATGGATAACTTGGAATTGTTTATCTCTGTCAAACATAAGTACCTTGGTCTTCAATATATTAATTTTCACACCTGTACTCTGTATTGCATCAGACAATCTAATGTTTTTTACAAATCATTTGGGTTCTGAGCCAACAACAAAGCATCATCCACAAAAAAGGAACACGTGTATTTACATCCCCAACCAACACACCTCTAATGTTATCATAACATTCTTTATACACCAATAATAATAATAATAATAATAATAATAATAATAATAATAATTTATATGCCGCTTGACCTCCAACAACTCTATTTATCTACAGATACACAACCAAGGAGACATCACATACTGTATATATTTGCAGAACATACACTAGAATTGCCTTGCTCAACTGGGGTTCCCTAGAACCCTAGGGTTCCGCAAGAGGTCACTAGGGGTTCCATGAGAGACTGTGATTGAAAAAAAATAAACATAGTTTTTTGAACTGTGCAAGCTGTGTAATGCTGATACTCACTCTGGTGGGAGTTTTTACACTGCTGTTGTTGTAAACACTGTAAAATGCAGATTGTGTAGGTTAGTGAATTATATTGTGAAGTTTTTGTATTTTTTGCAATTTTTATGCAGGGGTTCCCTGAGGCCTGAAAATTATTCAAGCGTTCCTCCAGGGTAAAAAAATATTAAGAAAGGCTACTCTAGAATGATGATGCTGGTAGAATTTATTTATTTTTGTTTGGGTACAGAAAACCCTAAATTCTCTTATCTTATTCCCTTACATCATTGCATTCTGGTGAGTTAAGGTAGGCTGGGATGAAATGCTACAATTAAATTTATCTTAGAAAAAGGGATATTTTAGTATGTCTCTCTCAAATGCCTAGGGGGACTGTGTGCATTATTACCTTATACTGCAAGATTTCCTATTGAATCAATGCTTGAATGGAAGGCCACTTGGAACTCTGTGAAGGCTGCTTTAATTTCCATTCAGGAAGAAAGATAACATATAATATAATTGATAGTATTCAGTAATTCTGGAGGTACAGCTACCACAAGACTTTATCCTTGCAGAAGTACCCTCAGCATGCTACATGCAGAAACACAAAAATGAACCCCTCTGAAGTTCAGAGCCAGCCCTACTATTAGACACGAGAGTTGAATGAAAAGTAATGCCTACACTTCTATAACTTTAATTTAAATAGGGATATTTTAATACATGAAACAGGAAAACAGTCCTTGAAATGAACTGCTTTGTTACCTGCATTTACAGGTAGTCCTTGAATTACAATGGCAATTGGGACTGGAATTTCCATCACTAAGCAATGCGGCCTAGAGTCGTGTTGCAGAAATGTGACATCGTTTAGGAACAGAAAACCTGGCAGTCCCCATTGCCATCATTAAGTGAGAACCATGCAGGTCATTAACTGAGGACCTCATGTGACCATGACATGGGAAGAGCTGCTGAAACCATGTCCCAGGCAAGCAGGCTGGAGGGCAAGAGCTGTGGGCGAGAGCTGCAGGCAGGCAGGCGCTACAGAGTGCGGGCAGACAAGCAGGTGTTGTGGCTGGTTGTTATGGAGTGCAGGCAGGTGGGTGCTATGGAGTATGAGATCCCCATGCTGCCTGGGGGCTCCTCGGGAGAAAAAGCAGCAGGAGTGGGAGCAACTTGCAAAAGTGACGTGCAACCTTCTGCTGGCTTCCCCATTGACTTTGCTTGTGGGCAGAGAAGGTCACAAATGGCAATCACGTGACTGTGGGACGCTGCAGCCATCATAATTGTGAGCTAGTTGCCAGGCAGCTGAATCGTGATCATGTGACTGTGGGGACGGTGTGATGGCTGCAACTTCAAGGACCAGTCGTAAGTCCCCCTTGTTCACCGCTGTTGTAACTTTGAACGGTCACTGAATGAGTGGTCATAACCTGAGAAATACCTGTACTTCTTTACATAATAACTACTGTTTGTTGCCTGCTTTTGCCATCAGTAGACAAGCTTCTTAAAGCTGTCATGAAAGAACCCCACGCTTTGCCTCTTCAACCAGGTCCTGACAGTCCTTTCTGATTTTTCATTTGAGTCAAACAGATGCCGATGAAGGTATTCCTTTAATTTTGGGGAAAGGTGGAAGTCACATGGTGCCAAGTATGGACTGTATGGTGAAATCCAACTTTGCAATTGCCTCTTGGGTGGCTCAGGAGGTGCGAGGCCTAGAGTCATTTGCAGCAGAATTTCCTTTTTGTGGTTTTGAACTCTACTAAGTTGTTTCAAAGTTTTAAGCGTTAAAATGCAGTGTTCTGAATTAAGTCTGGTGCCAGATTCAAAGAAATCCATTTGAATAACATGACCTACATCCCAAGTTACCATGAATTTTCCTGACAAAGTTTGGGTTTTGAATTTTTTGCTTTGCTAGTGAAGTTTTGCGATTATATTCCATGGACTGGGACTTTGTTTCTGGGTCATAATGGTGAGTCCATGTTTCATCAGCTGTCATGATGCTGTGAAAAAATTCCTTACTTCCATTCTTACAGCATGGCAACAATTGCTGGCAAATTTCCACTCCTAAACTCATCTCTGCATGTGAGGATCCCATCTTGCATGAAGTTTCTGATACTGAAGAAGATCAATAATATACCTACAAATTCTTGTGAAATGCCAGGCTTGACAGAGATTTCCCTTTGAGTGATCTACTGGTTGTCCTTAATTAGTTCATCAGTCTTTCTCATATTAAACCTGTCGGTTGCTGTCCCAGGTTGTCCACTTTGTTCTCGATCACACAAATCAGCTCTTCTTGGTTCACCATCTTTACATATTTTGGCACAGAACTCATGTCAACATGGTCATCAATGTAAACTGCTTGCATCTGGCAGTGAATTCCAAGTGAAGGGATTCCTTCAGCAGTTAAAAATCCAATCATGGTGCATGATTAAACAGATACTCATAGCAGGTTTCCATTTCACAAACCACAGCAACACAATACCACAACTTTCTGCTAACTGAAGTGAAAGAATAGATGCTAAAGAACATGACAGAGCTTCTGGTGTGTCAGTACTGCCATCTGTTGTCAATTTGCAACACTGGTGGCATTATTTTTCACTCAGTCCTCTTAGAATGAGGTGGTTGTTTCAGGGAAGTGAAAGAGTAGCAATTTCTTTATCAATTTTCTTTATCAATATTTTATCATATTGTGTTTTTTTTTCGTTGTTAAAGTGTTTCTTTGCCTCAGATGCCAAAATCACTTGACCAGCTTTGGGTACAATGAAGCTTATATTATCTTTTTAAGGGAGGGTGCTCTTTGCTAATCTGTCACTTTGTTTTAGCCTTCCCTTTATGGGAGTGCATGTTTTTTTTTTATCTTAGTATTGCCAGTAACACATGCACCGAAAGTAAAGGTTGACACTCTGGATGCATTTCCAAATGTTAATAGATAAGTTAGTCTGTTCAGAAATCTGTTAGCCTCTTTGGGGTGTGAGTATCCATCCAGTTTTTAAATCTAGGGACAACACTGTGTAGCAAAACAAGCCAATTAAATAGGTCATGTTGGCCAACTTAAAAAAAAGTTAGTCACTCTTGTCCTAGTTTAGAGTAGTTGCAGAAGAAGTAGTAATACGCAAAGCAGGGAGGGGGGAGTTTGAAGAAAAGAGATTGAAAATACAATGGTTCTGTTCGATGAAGCTATTGGGCTGGATATTGGGATGAAATTAAAGAGGTTTTTTTCCCTCCCTTAAAGGCCATTTAGCAGGTAGTCATTTGGAAAAAGTAACCTGTTAAGGAATGAGGAAAGGGCAGAAAAAAATCTGAAGGGCCAGAGGATTTTCTCCCTGCAAATATAAAAAGTTATATTATACACTTATGCTTGTCTCCAGGCTTGATTTAGAGTTGAGGCCCAGGGGCAAAGCAGATGTGAAATATGGCTTTTTATTTAGATTAAAGGTCAGTGAAGATTACTTGATTAAGTGAACAAAGACACACAACTTTTTAAAAGTCTATCTCCGTTCAGGTCAGGTTGTGTCAGAAAATGTTAAAAATTTAGTAAAGTTGGGAAGTATAATATATTAGTTTTGGCACTATCTCAGGTTTTCACTGATTTTTATTAACTCTGAAATTGAGTTACATAAATATTGTTCTGCAAGGTAACTAACTCTAGTTTTACCTAAATCAACTTAGTTAATTGCTAATGACCTGTGAGGAACATGTATTAGTATGTTTGTTGTCTTTTTCTTTGTAGGATGCACGTCAGAAATTCCGTTCCATTCTGGTTGAAGCTACAATAAAACTGGATGAACTTGTGAAGAAGATTGGGAAAGCTGTAGAAGATTCAAAGCCTTACTGGGAAGCCCGAAGGGTTGCCAGGCAGGTAAGAACATAACTGAAAAAACTATGCAATTAGTTTATTGGAGTACAATTTTAGTTATAGAGGCACAATAAAAGCACAATGGTATCATTCATAGCACATGATCTATATGTCTTTGATGCCATGATGGGTATTTCAACTGTGTGCTTGCTATGGGACAATGACCTTTTTCTCCTTTCAAGTGTGGTGAATACCACCCACCCAGATCTTATCTATTAAAAGGCTTAATTATCTCTGCAAATTTCTAGCAATCTACTGTATTTGTGTTTCTTCATTGCAGCTATTGTAAATGCATCACAATAGAATCAATTCTTGGCTTTGGAATTTGTGTCTCTCTTTCGTTTTGACTTATAGAAAGCTGTAATATAGAATTTCCTTCCTCTAAAAAGAAGAGAAGGGGAAACAAAAATAATGGTGATATTACCTAAATGATTCTTTTTCATACACTGGAATTGAGGGTGGATTCACTTAACCTGTGATAGCCAGTCTAAAAATACTGCAGCCTTCCAACTGAGCTGACAAAAAACTGAATTGGCACAGACTGAATGTGAGCCTTCGAAGCGGGCCTATTATTGCCTTATACATCATTTTTGAAGTCTTTCTAAAGCTAGCTCCCAGGATCGGCTTCTAAAATGTATTAGGAATACTGCCAACCCAAATATACTTGTTAATTATCCATTTACTCTTCTCTGTGTTTGTTACTTATTCTGCAGACTCTGCAGAAGAGACAAGTTGTGACCTTTTCTCTAGTTGATTTCTCCAAAGATAAAAAGTCTAATCCATATTGTCTGTCTCTTGGTAAATCTGTAGCTGTTCTGATCTTGTTGCCTTTTCAAAAGTTGGAAGAATGCATGGTGGTTCATTGGGAGCCAGTTTGTTCATGCCTGACTTTTATGCATCCGTAGTATAGCCTAAAAACTACAGAACTTTCTTTCTGTGCCCTGAGATCTTTTTCAGTTAGGGACTCTAATCATACACAGAAATTTCTTCAGCCCTGACTAATTTAAATTTAATTTAAATTTAATTTAAAAGCCCTGGACTAATAATTCAGCAATAAAATCTGTATATTCATTAAAGTACCACCTTTTGTAGCATTTGCATCAAATGAAGTAATGACATGGATTGTACTATCGTGCACATTAGTTTGGGGAAAAATAATCCTATATCGGTGAAAATTGTAGAGTTGTACTCAGACTGGGTTATTGCCACAGAGTTGGCCCATTTCCAGTAAAACAATAGATTGACTTTTCTGGTGCGGTGATGTCTCTTGAATTGTTCAGAATCCACAGAGTGGCCTCTTGAGTATTTTCTTTGCCTCATGAAAAAGACAGTTTTGGATCCAGGGAATACATGCATATTGTTGAATGGAGAAGGAGATAGGTATTGTTGAATGGTAGAAGGAGGTACCATCAAAATCCATTAGGAGCTAGCTTAAGTGCTCAGACTCTAAGCTATGAACTAGAATGTCTCTGATATTTCTTCTGTTGTGAACTCATGGGTTTTAAATAAGTTACTCTTTCTCTTTTAGCAACCCCTGGCAACAAGGCAGTAAATAATGGTGATTTACTTTTCAGTATGTTATCTTTATATCTAAATATGTAAACATAACTTATAACAAGTTTCCCCAGTTGTTATAGGAACAGAAAGAATGTATATATATTTATTCTACACATGGTGTACATATTTTTATAACTCAGCTCATAGAAAGTCTGTTATTTAGGCAATCCCACCAAAGCTGTAACTGAAAATAAACATTTACTGTAATCTTTCCTAAACCAGTCCCTTCCCAATGTGTTAAGCTGTTTATTTAAGGCATATTTACCCTCCTTTTGAGCAGGAAATTCTCCCAGCCTGGTTTATAGAAACCATAAAAAGAGCAGTCCCTCCACTTGGAATGATAATATAAAAAGATGTGACATAGTAGGAAAAATAGAGAAGGAAAGAAAGACGAAGAATACTAAGGTATCAGTTCTTAATATTATACATTATATTATTATAGCTTTTAATGACTAGCTATAATAAAATGCTAGAATGGTTGTAATGCCACCACAAATTATTGTTTTGTCAGAGCTCAAATAGTCTTTCACTTAAATCAGTGGAATGACTCTCTAATGCCTGTCTCTGTATGTTACTGGCCATGATGGGAATTCTGTGCATTTATAGGAGATGCACTGCCATAAATATTGTTTCTTCCTTGCGGCAGTCAAGTTTAGCTTCCCACAGCAGCGGAGCTCCAAAGCAGTAGAGTAGAAGTGTGCTACAACTAATAGTTATATGCTTATTGGATAGGTACAGGAAAGGTTCCTATCTAACACATACAAATCAGAGAGTGTGGCAATTTGTAGAGTTCTCCATTTCATTAGGCTACACAAATGTGGCAAATACAGTTGATCTGACGCAGTTTTTTCCACAATACATTTTTCTTTCTATGATCACATCTTCTCAGATCATTCTTTAATTTTCATAAGCTAGGGCAGCCTTTGTCAATCTGGTACCCTCCATGTCCTGAGATTTACAGTATAGCCCATCTGGTGGGTGCTCCCTTAGGAGTGTATTTCTTCCGGGCTTGCTATCATAAATGATAACTGTTTTTAAATCTGACACTGCTTCTAGTGGAGAATAACTGTAAAGTTTAAACACTTCTGTCTTGGCCTCTTCATTTATATGACCATTCAATTATTTATGGCTCCCTTAGGACCTGCACTTCACAGTGATCCTCAAAGGTTACTTAAAAGTACTTAAACCCCATACAGTACTATCACCTGGGTACCCTCCTTAGTTAAACTGGAAGCAGGACATCAAATGTTTTGGAGCTTGCTTGATGCATGCATAGCAGTAGCTTAATAAAGTGAACCTCTGTCAATGTTTGAAAGCATATCCGCTTGAGGAACCTCCTTGGGTGACTTGATATACATCCAATTCAAGCACAGTGTGGAATTCTAGGAGAACGGAAACCAGGCCTGATTAAAAATTGCTGAGGGGAGAGAAATGGTTTCCTGTCTCTAAACTGTGGAAGTTACTAATTGGAGAAGAGGTGTTGATTTTCTGAGGAGGGATCATCACTTGATTTGGAAAAGAAAAATTTTCACAGCAGCCATTTCACGTATCTATACAATCAACACAGGGTGATGACATCCTTCATAATTTATTAAAAATACTCTGTGATACTTCCTGTCTTGTTTCAGCCTTAACAGATTGCATTTCATTGGCTTCCAGCCCTGCTGTATAACTGCTTTCTTCTATTAATCAAATCCATTGCTTCCTGTTTATTAAAACAAAATTATTAACATAGCCTCAAGGCTGCTTCAGAGATGCTGAAAGGCTTCTATAGTACCTAGGTCAGTGTTTCTCAACCTTGGCAGCTTGAAGATGTGTGGACTTCCACTCCCAGAATTCCCCAGCCAGCCTGGCTGGGGAATTCTGGAAGTAGAAGTCCATACATTTTCAAGCTGCCAGGGTTGAGAAACACTGTCCTAGAGACTCTGTCAGGCCAATGTTAGACTTACGTCTCATAAGGTTCATGGAACTTAATGTTTGGCAAGTCTGCTTAGAATTGCAGCATAAACATACTCTTTTCTCCAGATTTATTTAGGAGCTGTGTGGCATCACAAATCACATCTGATATGGGTCTGTGTCATTTGGAATAAAATGACTCACAACTGGCTGCTGGAGGCTTCTGATGTTGCCCTTTCAGCTAGTATGGAATATGAGGCACAAGGTCTTTTCTATTCACATCAAGGTTTTCCCTTGTTGAAACATTTTCTTAAAATGGCTTTTTAGGCAGATTATTAACTTTCTATTCAACTTTCTCAAAGGTCTGTTTGTGTCAATAAGATCTGTTTTTGGTAACATTTACAAGGCAATGTAAATACAATATATAATGTGAGTAACAGGGATCCTTGTTTATTGTTAGGTAACTGATTAAACTCTTGATTCATTAATTTTATGGATGATATATTTGGATGAATTGTTGCTGTGTTCATATCTTTGTATCCTAATCTTTGGCTCTATTTATTTAAATGCATCATCTTTATACATTTATGTGCACCTGACTGATTTCCATGAAAACTGCTTTTAAGAAAATGACTTTTAGAATTACAGCACTGTACATGAATGCAGCGTAATAGCAACGATTGAACTGTGAAGAAGCCATTGGTTCAAATTTCTCTGCTACCCTGAAGTCATTAGATTGACAAGTCATGCTAACTTTCAGCCTTTGTGATCTCCTGTGGAGCAAATGGGTTTTGTATAAAAGATGATTGAGATTACATATGCTAGTGAAAAGTTCTGAGGTGTTGTACAGTAGTAGTAGTAGTAGTAGTAGTAGTAGTAGTAGTAGGAAGAAGAAGAAGAAGAAGAAGAAGAAGAAGAAGAAGAAGAAGAAGAAGAAGCCTGACTCTCTACAACTCTGGGTGGCTCACAGCAATCAAAGAAATTACAGTCAATTCAATAAAATATAAAAGATAACATAAAAGTTGGCAAGTGTGATGAATAATTATGGGTATTAAAATAATTACAGTATAATGTTAAACCAGTTGATGGAATCCAAATATGCTACCTATATTCCTATCATCTCAGCATGTGTTGTACTTTAATCTTGGGATCAAAGGAACACATGTTTCAGAACTGGAGTAGTCTAAAAAAGAACTCTCCAGTCAAATGAGGGGAAAATCTGACAAATCAGCTTTCAGTTATAACTGCAATTGAGCATTTGCATTATTTGATTAGAGTTCTAGTTTTTTTTTTAAGAAGTAGTTTGTTCTTTCTAAGGCTTTAAAAACAAAATACCCACTTTTAGGCATTTATACATAAACAATGTTTATGGTGAAAGTGAGTTGCAGTTATGCCTAAA